TGATGTCTGAAGCTGTAGGAGGGGGTAGGGTTGCCACATTGAAGATGAGGAGTCCTGCCATGGGAACGCCTCTGTTCATTTACAGCAGAGAGGGAGAAGTTGTGCCAGAAAGAGGGGGACAGTCAGTCTCTCCCACCCGGGAACGAAGGCGAGTTAGTGGTGCAGGCTGCATCGGAGCCTGGGAGCACAGGAGACCAGGCCACGGGGCGAGATGTGGCCAGAACGTTGCTGCAGAATTAGAAGGCAGGCTCTGGGAGGAAGCGGAAGTATTGGTTGGTGAAGACGTGGATTTATAGTTGAATAAATCCATGGCAGAGGCCCGCAAAAGTAAAAACTATTTTCTTTTAAAAAAAATTATTTTCAGTACATTGCAGAATGAAAAAAATTATTGTTCTTGAGGAGCTTAGAGGCTAGTCATCGCATTAGAATTCAGAGAAGCCTTGCAGGGTGCCTGGAGCTGGGAGCCTGGAGTCAGATTTAATAGCACCTCCGCTTGAAGGGCTAGGACCACAATGTTGGCCGTCCTTGTAGCCCTTCATTTTCTCTAACTTTTGGTCTGCATACTTAAGTTGTTAATCCTCCAGAAGAGAGACTTAATGGTATTGTTACCTTATAACATAGGCAGTTGAGCTTAGCATCACTATCTGTCTGAATATCAAATGCCTTAGACAGAACATGGAACAGGCATTTTTCATCAGTCATTGACATGCTAAACTTTATTATTTTTTTTTTAATTTTGTTTTTGTGGTATCGGATATTGAACTCAGGACTTTGCACTTGCCATGCAGGTGTCTATGCCGCTCAGCTATTTCCCCAGTCCGACATGCTAAACTTTAAATACCTACAGAATGTGAAAAAAATAGTAAAAAAATAAAGTTATGTGTTTTTACACAGAAATTTAGAAATCTAACCATATACAACATTGTAGCAGGACAGTCCTATGATTTATTTTTGTCTCTTGTTTTCATTTTCATTTATTACCTTTTTTTAAAACAAACGTTTACTTGTGAGAGAGAGTATACAGTAATTGATATGACACTGGAAGCAGTACACATTTAGAAGACCAGAAGGACAGGCATTCCAAGCGTGACCCTCGTATTACACATTGCCATCCTCGGTGCAGTTGCTTAGTTCACAGGTATCAGCATATATAGTCAGTCAGGGGTGAGAATCCTACGAATTAACTGCTAGTTTCAAAAACCTGATGGAGATTCTCAGGATCACTCCCTTAACCATCTTATGTAGAGTTCTGGGTAAATCCTGAGGGGATTTGACTGACCCTGTCAGATACAAAAGTTACATTTCTTGTTATATAGGTCTTGCTTTATCTTAGTCTTAACCATCCAGCAGAAAAGTGTAAAAATGAGGTATAAAAAGTAAAGCCATATTGATACGCTGAGCTGTGAAAGGCTCAAGTCAGCAACTTCTGACATTGCCAGTTCTGTGGATAACCCACTACTATTATATTATATCATATTACATTATATTATATGGACTACTGGATTATATTGGATTATTTTGGACAATATATATTATATGCACTACTAGGTTACATTGGATTATTTTGCTAAATTAATGCACCTACAATATTTGAGAGTGCCAAGTCCTAACCACTAGACCACCAGGGAGGGGCTGTTCCTACAATATTTGAATGGCAATGGAATACCCTTCTCTGACAAAACAACAAAAATGGGGGATATAAATGAGGGACCATTTTTCAGTAAAAAAAAATATATGTCTGAACATACAAAACAGAATATACAGCTACTGTGTCTTAGTTCAGTATGCAGAAAGATTTGTACTAATAGTGTGTAGACAAATTATCATATCTGCATCTTGTATGAATAACTACTACGAAGACCACAGTATGCAATGTGTTAATTATTGTAACTGTCCTACCTACCTGTTTTGAAACTCTCTCATTGCTATTTCTTTCTCAATAAAATTAATTAGAAAAGCAAGTAAAAGCGCCTCCCCGCACAGGGGAGTGGTGGGACACTGCCTGTGTGCCACACATCTTGCTCGCAGGGCCCAGCAGGTAGTCAGGGGCGTGGGAAGAGCTGGAGGAGGCAGGGCTGGGCTCTCAAGAGTGGACCCTGGTCCCTTCATTCTCTTTCTGAACCCATGTCATGCATGTTCAGTTTTGAGGCTTAACTGACTTGGATAGTTTTACGGTAATTTGTGTTTTTGAAGTGTAGGTGAATTGTCAAGTGATCATACTGATTCTGTTTTGTTGCAAATAAATAGTATGTCACATTTTTGTGCCATATCAAAAATGTTACTTAGAATAAAAACTTCTTTTGAAGCCACAATAGGCTCTTACTCAAAATATTTATTTAGACCATATTGTTTAAATATATGTAATTCCCTTGAGGAACAGTTAGTCTACATAAATATGAATTTGAAACAAATAGACCTTCTGGAATTCATAGAGATACTACGAGGCTGCCCCAGTGCTTAAGTGACTGTATACAAAGGAGGTGAGGTGTTTATACGTGCAATAAGAGTGGAGAACATAAAGAAGGGTGATCTGAAGGGTTGATTCTCAAATATAACAGATGTAGGAACTTACTTGGGAAGAGAAAACGTTGAATCATGAACTCGGGATCTCGCACTTGCCGGGACGGTGCTTATGCCCCTGAGCTGTGGCCCCTGCCCGCTTGTGTTAGTCGTGAATATACCTATAAATGAAGCTGTGCTTTAAATGTGGTGCAAAATTAGAACTTTTTAGTAATTTTATTATCCAACTAATGATTTAAGTTGTAAATATGCTGGAGTTAAATATAGTCTATGGAAGAGCATTTATTTTTATTGTCTGTCTCTTGCTTTTGGTAAAGCAGAGAGTTCTTAAAACAGTTTATGTGAGATGTCATTATTTCACTTCAGATGTTTCAATATTAACATTGAAATCTGTAACTGTTAAGTGACTTGCTTTCAGTGTGAACTTCATGTCGTAAACTATTGTAGTGACAGCGCAAAGTGATGAATTCTTTAGCTACTGAACGGATTATGTAAATGAGTGACTTCCAAACTGGGACCTTCTGTTATATTGTTTAGTTAAGAAACTATTGAAATTGAAATAACTTTTAGAAGAGTTATATTCTCTTACAAAATATGTGTTCTTTAATTAATACATACAGCAAAATTTTATACCCAAGTTCCGTATGGCGGGACAGTTGACACAGGAAGGAGGTCTCTGACGTATCAGGGAGGCAGCCTCTCGAAAATTTCCCTGGAGGTAAACAGGAAAGTGAGGTAGGGATGCCAACACAGGACGAAAAGGCTGGGCTGGGGAGATAGCTCCGTGAGCTAAGTGCCTGCCTAGCCAGTGCAAGGGCCTGAGTTCAATCCCTGGTATCCCCCCCCCAAAAGAAAAGGACGCAGTGATAGCATAGACAGTGGAAACAAATAAGCCCCCATGAGTCAATGTTAATTTGTTAGAGATACTTTAGCCTGCTCAGGAACAAGAGGGTGGCATCCGTTTGCTCAGTCTGAGTCTGCAAACAAAATTTATCCCATCATGTTAACAGTATGGAAAGTCCTCTGTCTGTTAAAAGTGAGATGATTATGTAACAATTCGAGTGGCTCCAGGAACGCGAGCGCCTGGAGCGTGGGAGCGAGTGAGCTTTCTGACCCAGAACCGCATTTTCAGGCACTCCACGGCCACGTTCCTCTCCAGAATCCGTAATCGTTGAGCACATCGAAATCTGTGGAGACATCTTTTCCTGGCAGCTCAGGTAGTTAGAGTAGATTGTGAATCTGTGAATGCTCAGACCAAATCCCTTCTGTCTTCAGAATTACCACGCAAATTACAGCTAAATGTACGAGGTAAATTTATTAGCTGTAGTCTGGGCGCATAGGTAGCTTTAGCACAGTTGTTAAGCATACAATTTTTTATTCCCAAAAAGTTACACTTCATTTATGCTAATTTTGTGTGGATTTCCATTGTAGCCTAAAATGATATGATAGTTTTAAGTACCGTATCTGTAAGGAAGTAGTATTTTTTTTCAAAGTGTATATGAGTTTTCTAAGAGACAGTTGTACTGTTCTAGGTAGAAAAAGTTAACAGTAATGGATTTTCTTGCGTTATATCTGATACAAGAATAAATAAAAACTTTTCTTATATTTTCATTAAAATTGGAATGTTTATATTTTTCAATATAAGAATGAGAATAAAATTAATGAAACCTCAAGGAATTGGGAAATGATGAATAATAATAGAAATACGTTAGGTCTTACTAGGTAGACTGACAGGAATATCTTTCAAAAGGTAACAAATTCAGCAGAAGGAAAGTAATGTTCTAGTAATAATTTTGTGTGCCGTATTTCACTTTCACAAACATTTCACTCTTTGAATGTATTTTTCTTTGCATTATTAAGACGTACATAAAAATGGAATTACATATTAGCAGAACTTTTTTCCTCTGGTGTTAAAATCTAGTTTCTTGTGGAATTCATACTTTTTATTCTTATTCTACTTGGTCTGTATTTCTAACTTAAAAGTTACTATGAATGACTTAAAACAGTATGTTAATGAATGAATTTTCTTAACTTTCTGTGAGAGATTTTGATAGCAAAATTTATTTTCAGAATTCTCCAGGCCTCTACTACATAAAGCTTTCTAAAATACTAGTGGTCATTATTCATTACAAATAGTGGAAAAGGGCTGGCTAGACAGCGAGGCGATCTGAGCGCCTGCCTGGCCAGCATAAGGACCCGGGTTCAATCCGCCCTTCTTCCTCCCTTGCGTACCACATGCCGTGCTGGCCCCTGGAACCCTGGGAGCTCCATGCCTGCACACACCTGGAATCCCAGAGCTGGGGAGGTTGAGACAGGAGAATCAATATGAGTGCAAGCTATATAGCGAGACCCTGTACCAGATAGATAGGTAGGTAGGTAGGTAGGTAGATAAATAAGTAAATAGATTTAAAAAAATAAAAACAGTGGAAAATACAATACTTTTTTATAGATGCTGATTCTTCTTCTCCTTTATCTTCCAGGCCATCCGATGCACACTGGTAAACTGCACATGTGAATGTTTTCAGCCGGGGAAGATTAACCTGCGGACCTGCGACCAGTGCAAACACGGCTGGGTGGCTCATGGTAAGAGCAGGCCAGGCTCTGCTTCCTGGTGTTGCTGTGGCCGTATGAATGTGTACGGTTTTTTAGAGCACCCCCTGGCCTGGAGAAGAGAGCCGTCAGCTGGGCTCCAGGTGTTAACTAGTATTGGGCCAAGGCTCTCAAATAGCTCGTTCTGTGCTTCAAGGAGCGAGGCACGTGGCTGCTCCCTGGCAGAAGGGTGAGATGTTTATAGCGCAATGGGGCCGTGGGTTCTCACTGCGCACAGCAGCAGCCAGCAAGCACCAGGCCTGCTGGAAACTCAAACACACCACAGTTGGCCTTTCAGGCCTGGAGCTCAGGGATAGCTGGCAGATCCTCCCTGCTGGGAACTCCTCGGTGCCTGTGCACCCTTGTCATGCATGTTAAGGTCTGAGTTTATCCTTCTGGCTATTAAATTTTGTATGGTGGAAGGTGGGTAAGAAAGCAAGCAGAAACATTATTTGTCTAGTATCTGAAAAATAATCTGTACATAAGCTCCTTTCAGTGTGCTCTGGGATTCCAGGGGGTTGGCCCTGGGAGCATGTGCGCTCTGCCCCCCGCCTTTGGAGTGGGGGTAGCCCAAGCAAGGACAGCAGCGTGAGGGCAGCTCGCCAGGTGCCCTGCGTGGGCCCTCCACTCTCACGTTTTCTTGTGCATGGTTTAGGGTTATTAAGTTAGGCAGAAGAAGACATGAAATTTTTTTACTTCTTAGTCTGTAGAATTTAAAAAGATAGGTGATATTTATTAAAGAAATCCTAGCTGGAGATCTTTAGACAGCCTGGGGTGCTGGCTGTTCACTGGCCATCCTCTTCACTCACAAGCGGTGCTAAACATCCAGCTGGTTGTATTTTGTATAAGTGTGATGTTATTCAAGCGAGATCTGAGGTAACAGCATCGGGCCATACCTTGAAATGCTTTCTGTTGATCATGGGCCTTGCTTGTTAGGGCTTGTGTATCAGAGTTAGGGGTCTTTCCAGCCATGTTCTGTGAGAGAGAGAGAACAGCATGCAGGGCATGCACTGGGCAGAGAGGGGAGGCATGCCACGGTCGGTTCCATAATCCCTCAAGGATGCAGCTTCCTTCATTAATTTTAAAGGCTAAATTCTGTTGCAGTCCAGCCTTGGAAAACACATGAGCTGCTATTTCATGTGCAGTCTCTGTGTGTTACGCTGTTGGAGAATTTCTTTTTTCTTCCTATATGAGCTTGCTGGGGCTTCCAGCACAATACCCCCAGACTCTTGATTAATCAAGAGAAGGTAGTTCTCTCATAGTTCTGAAAGTTAGAATTCCAAGATGAAGCACGCAGCAAGTGTAACTCCCTTCAGAGGTCTTTCTGTCTTGCACGCACCACCCTAACTTGGTCTTTACTCTGTGGTCACGCTTGTGGCGGCGCCTTACACGGCATCATTCTGCCTTTGTGGAAGGATTTCCATTGGACTGGATTGAATCCCAGCCATAAGGGCCTGACTCTAACGTTGTCACTTCTTTAGAGGCACTATCTCCATTACAGTCATGTTGTGAGCTACAGGAGGTGTTAGCTTCAACATAGGCATTCTGGGGGAGTGTAATGCATTCAGCCCATGACATTTTCCAGATGTCCTTCTTTCTGTGAAGGAAATACGGGTTTTCTAGCTAACAGGTAGAGCTTACCGTCCCCGGGCCATCTTCGGGAGCATGGCTATGATCTGTTGCGTAGGCCACATCCTGACTCTGCCGCCTCAGTGCCGTGTCGGTGCAGCCCGACCTTCCATTTTCTTATCTGTAAACTGTGATTAAAAATAGTAGACACGTTAGCACTGAGGGTGTGCCAGGGCTGATCAAAGGATGGGCTGAGGGTTTTAACTGAAATTTACTGCAGAAGAAGCCGTTGCCTTTAGTCCCTCAGGATCTGTCACATCTGCCACACTTCGCCCATCGTTCTTGCCTCTCTCTGAGCAGGTCTGGAAGTCCTCTGTGGTGGGTCTCTTTCGTTGCTCTGCAGTAGCTGCGTCGATGTGCCAAGTGCATTCAAAATGTCTGCGGCAATCTCTGGCAGGTATCGTGGTGGGTGCGCTGTGTGGCTTCTGGCTCCTCCACCAAAATACTGGCGAAATGGACATGAAGTCTTTGATCAAAAATACACGTTAAAAAAAAATACACGTTAAACAAGCATAACAGATGGGACAGTAGATAATAAAGCGGTTAACCATTAAATAAAAAAGGACTTCCCAGTTATTCACTCGTATGTTCCCCGAAGCCATTTTCCATTAATGTCATCGGTGTACTGCGGGAGTGTTGTGAGTCTAAAACTCGCTTTGCTGGTAAGCTTCGCTCTGACTTCCTCGCGCCCTTCACAGTAGCAGCGTACGGTATGTGCAGTGCTTCTTCCTTCCTGGGCAACATGAGTAAGTTGTGGTCAGTGATCGTTTTGAAGTATTGGGGGAGTGATTTTTTTAACCCAATTCGCAGTAAGGTAATTCTGTTACTGTAGACTCTGCTTCTCTTACTGTATCATTAGACGTCCTGATTCTAGCATATTAATCCAGAGTTTCTCAGGTATGAGCAAAAGAAATTGTTCCCTTCACAGTTATCATCTGGACCACCTCCTCAACCTCACAGTGGGGACAAACTTGTACATAATTCAAAGTATATACTCAGGGGTCTGCAAAGCCACTGTCCCATGTATTAGGACAGAAAGGACGGAGAGGGCTGGCCAGTGCCCTCGGCTTGGCAGTGAATGGGAGCGCAAGCCTGTGCTTGCACCTCGCGTCTCCACTGATTGCTCCGTTCCCTCCCCGCACAGGAATCCTGAAACGCGGTTCTGGTTATTTCTGCTCAGAGGTGAGCGACACAGCAGGCGCTCTGCTCCCTCCACTGTACAGAGTCCTGAGCGGGGCAGAGAGGAGGGGCTTGGTTTTCTAGGTGTGCTTTCCTCTGAAAGTGTGTGTGACACGGTAGTCAGAAATGTTCCACAGCACCACGAAACATATTCTATCTGTGGTTGTGGTGCTTAAAATTTTTTGATAACTGGTGCTAATAATTAATCAAATGTCAAATCAAGGGTTTTTTAAAAATTTTAAGAAATTTATTGCCCTTTTTGTATAAATGGTTTATTGAGTATAATTTTTAAAACTTTTGGTATATATTATTCATACCTGAGACATAAAAGTGTGGTGAGCCAGATACGCCCAGAGCGCTAGTTCGTCACCCACCTGCTCAAATCCTCAGACAGAGGGCCCTGCCAACCGCCATTTAAGTCCCTGCACTACCCCACCCCTGCTTGTCCCCCTTTATGTGTGTCAACAGACTTCTTTTTCAGTAACATGTTTTCATTAGAGAAATTCAGTTTTTAAACTTTTTCTACCTCTCACACAATTTGAAGCGTCAGTCGGCTTTTCTCTCTCTCTCTCTCTCTCTCTCTCTCTCTCTCTCTCTCTCTCTCTTTTTGTATTTGCTAAGGGTCTACAGGGTCTCACTACTAGACGGGTCTCGTAGTGATCTGCCTGTTTACAGCCTCCCAAGCGCTGGCATTACAGGTGCACCCCACCAGGCCCAGTATCAATTGCCTTCTCAGCGAACCTGGGGGCAGGGCCAGCGCGGCGCAACCGGGATTGAACCCTGGCCACTGCATCTGCCTAAGTAGGTGCTTCAGTCCGCTGAGCTATTTGGCTGGACCAGTCAGGTTTTCTGTAGTCCTAAAAGTTAGCCAGTATTATTTTTCTATGTCTGGGGATTGGTAAAAGTGGGGCGAGTTGGGAACCTAGTGTTTCCTGTTCATAGAGCCTTGAGAAGCGCTGTTGTCTGCGAAAGTGTTCCTGATAGGAGGGCTGGCTTCGGGTAAAGGTGGAGGCTGTGGCCCATGCCATTTTCATCGTTTATTATTTGAAAGTTAACTTTAATGTCCATCATCTAGTGGTTTTTTAAATGGCTAAGGTGAAAGTAAATAAAGTAATAAAACTAAAAAGATAAATGAAATTCTAAGTGATTTTAGGAAATGCTTGTTGATCAGCAAAAACAATTGCGAAAAAGCTTTTATCTTGATATATATATATATTTTTTGAAAATTTTATTGATAACAAGATAGCAATGAGACAGTTTCAAATCCAATCAGAAGTACAGTTTCAACAAATAACACACTGCATATATTCTTCTTAGTGGTTAATTGCTGCACAAGATGCGGACTTGAGATCCTATTTACAAACACCATTAGAACAGATCATTCTATTCTCTCTTGATATATATCTGTGTACTTGATAAAAGAGGTGAGCAAATTTTGAAAAGATATTCATAGTTGTTCCCATTGTACTCATTTTTGTTTTTGATATTAATATGAAATTTATCACATTGATAAAGCCACCCTTTTTCCCAGTGCCCCTCCAAAGTGACAGACCACGCCTGCTGCACTGCGATATGGTAGCTGTCTCATGTGACCATTTGGGTTTTATTTTTTATTTTTTTATAGAATTTTTTTCCCCACAATTTTGATAAACAAATAGCGATGAGACAGTTTCAAGCCAAATTGGTAGGACAGTTCCAATAATTAACACGTTGCATACATTCTTCCTAGTGGATATTTGCTATACAAGATGCGGACATGATATCCTATTAACAAACTCTATTAGAACAAATCCCTTTATTCATTAAGAGAATGTAACTATATATCTATCCTAACCATTTTGAATACACAGATACAAAATGGACACTCATCTGTATCCCTTTTTCTATTTAGTTCTGTTATTTGAATATTATAGGTGTATTAACTCAGCAAAATATTCTAAAACAGTCCAGTAGCCCATAATAGCATTGGGTCTTCTGCCTCACTGGCAATGTCAGAAATTGTTGACCTGAGTCCCCTACAGCTCAACATAACAGCATGGCTTTACTTCTTATACTTCATTTTTACACTTTTCTGCTGGATGGTTAAGACCAAGGTAAAGCAAGACCTATGTAACAAGAGTTGTAGCTTTTGGGTCTGATAAGGTCAGTGAGATCCCCTCAGGATTTATCCTGAGATCCTGTACCTC